ATGTAACACTTTGGAAGGAAATAGTTCCAATTTGGGTTCTGTTTAGGTGATAATAACCTTAAAAAATGTAGGTTAAATAAAGGTGATTTTATCACTATGTGAGAGAAGTGATTTTACTTTAAGAAAATATTTTCAAAGACCAAGGTCTCCTGTTTTTAAAATCTAATTAAAGCAAGGTTATACAGTTACCCTGATGTGAAATGTGCAGTCAATGTCTGAATTTTTGTAAGTCAGTATTTCTGCTTTAAGATTTCTAGTTTTTTGTTATTTTTATTTTTATCCTCACCTGAGGACATTTTTTCCATTTTGTTGTTCAGGTAGAGTGGGAAGGGAGAAAAAGAGAGAGAAACATCGACGTGAAAGGGACACATTGAGTGGCTGCCACCCGCACGACCCAACCAGGGCCAGGGACAAACTGCAACTGAGGCACATGCCCTTAGCGGGAACCGAACCCGGGTCTCTCGGGACTGCAGGCCGACGCTCCAACCGCTGAGCCAAACCGGCCAGGGCAAGATTTCTAGTTTTTTTAAGTCTGTCTCCTTGATAACCTACCATGTGAAAACTGAGAGCATCCCTTGGCTAAAATGCCACGGATTCCCAATGTACTTAACAAGAATCAGTAAATTTTCTTGAACAAATGATTTCCAATTTGTAATATAAAACTAGTAAATAACAAAATTATGCAAAGGTTACAATTTGCTGTATATCTCTTTGTTTAAAGCATTAAATTGTTTGCAATTCAGCCAAATATGTAATAAATATTTGTTCTTATTTACTTACCCAGATACAGCCATCTGGAATTTGGTGTGCAGTTTGTGTGTTTTTGCAGTTATTGTGTGTGTGTTCATGTATTTATAAGTATATATTTCATATCTCACTGTTTTATTTTATTTTAAATTTATATCAATATTACTAAACCCGAGTTATTCTTTCTAAGATGTACTCGTGTTTTAACATTATCTGTGTTGATGTAAATCTGTCTAAGATGTATCTGTGTGTTCAACATTACCTGTTGCTAGAGACTGAACATTTGTGTCCCCTCCTGCCCCCCTAATTTATCTGTTGAAAAATAAAGAGTCCCAAGATGATGGTATGTGGAGGTAGGGTTTTAGGATGAGAACAGGTCATGATAGTGGAACCTCTGTTAACAGTATCATGCCCTTGTAAAAGAGGCCCCAGAGGGCTCCCTCAGCCATTCTTCCTGTGAGGACACAGCAGGACAGCAGTTCACAAACCAGGGAGCGGGCCCTCAGCACACACTCCATCTGTGGGACTCTTCATCCTGCCTTCCCGCCTCCAGGACGGAGGGAACAAATTCCTGTTGTTTATACGCCACCCAGTCTATGGCTTTTGCTAGAGCAGCCTGACTGGACTATGGCAGCTGCCTAATATAGTCATGGTATTGAAAGGAAATTTATTTACTTACTCAATTTTAGTTCCACCTTGAAAAATAAATGTTTTCTCTGTCTTGCTCTTTCTCTTCGTAATTTCATTCAGAACCACAACAGACACGTAGTCTAAGTGGAAATGTAAAATTTAATTCATTTTTTTATGCTATAATACTTTTTGTTAATTATTGACAAATAATTCAGTGGTTTTTACTAATTTATTTTCAAAGCACGAATGTATGATTTCCCATTTCCACAAATAATCATCAATGCTTTTAAAGGTTAAGTAGTCTGGTAATGGTGAGATGAAATCTCGTAGTATTGAATTTTATTACCCTGACTGGTGATTTTTAAGAATCTTTTTGTGCCCTGGCTGGTTTGGCTCAGCGGTTAGAGCGTCGACCTGCGGTACAGAGAGACCCGGGTTCGGTTCCCGCTGAGGGCGCGTACCTCGGTTGCAGTTTGTCCCCGGCCCTGGTTGGTCGTGCGGGTGGCAGCCACTCGATGTGTCCCTTCACATCGATGTTTCTCTCTCTCTCTCTCTCTTCCTCTCTCCCTCCCGCTCTATCTGAACAAAAAATGGAAAAATGTCCTTGAGTGAGGATAAAAAAAAAAAAAAAAAAAAAAAAGAATCTTTTTGTTAGTGGTGAGATGACAAGACCTTGGTTCTTGTCTTCTTGAAGGAAAGATTGCAATCAAGAGACAAAGTGTAGCAAAGTAAGATAATTTATGGGCCACAGCAAAAAACACACTTGGGACAGTGAAACGAGGAAGGGCATAGAAGCAGCAGCAGGAGAGCCCGGGCTGGGCTGCTTGGGCTCACTGAGCAGTCAGGGGAAGGGGCCTTAGAGACAGGCTCAGGGGTTAGCCCAGGATGAGCTGCTGCTGCCCATTGCTCTCTTGGTTGCAAGTCTCATGGGGACGCTTAGAGGGAAGAAGGGGGAAGGGAATGGCACTGGCATGTTCCACTGGGGAAGAGCGTGCACTGGGTCCTTCAACCTGAGCGCATTTATCTCTCTCTTGCTGTTGGGAATCTTAGGGGAGGTCTCAGGGGAGGGTCTTAATACAATATTCATCAGCTTTCCAGGTGCGCTCTTTCAGGGTCATGGTCTCCCTGACTGGTTGGTGCCAGGGCAAGGGGTCATCAGTCAATGCAGCTGGTCCTGAGGCAGCCATCAGAAGGTCTGAGCCGGCGGAAGAGCACACCCACAAGGCCGGTGTAGAGCAAACTGGCTTTATTGCACACGCCTGGGTGCAGGCGGGCCGAGCCGAAAAGAGCTCGGTGCGTTTTTTGTTTGTTTGTTTGTTTTCTAGCTTATATAGACACAAACTGACCCGTCCCGCAGGTCGAGCAACGAGGACTCTAGAGGGGAGTGAGGATGAGGAGGGACAAGAGACACGAGAAATGGAGACAAGACAGGGTTCTGATCAAGTCTCGTTTATTCAGGGGGAGTTCACACAATATAGAGGGCAAAAAGCAGGTGAAACAGTTAATGAGTATCCCACCTGAAGCAAATTCCAGTAAATACCCCAGATGGAACAAATGATAAGCAAAGAATGGCTAGCAGAGTAAATGATTATCTAGAGGGATGCAGAGACATTGTATGCAGAGAGACCCTGCCTTGGGGCAGGAGATGGCGGAGCAGATTGTAACAAAATGGATGCCATGCAAAAAGTCTCCCACAACACACTACAGAACTGTGAAAAAAACTACATTCTCTTGGCGCCACTTTTCGGTGCCAGGGCTGATACAAGCTGTCTCAGAGGTGAGGAGGAGTCTGCTTCAGCGGAGGTCAGGGCCATCATTCATCTCTTTCTCTCTTATGGTCCTTCCAAGTTTTCCAAGGCCACCATTAACCCCTTATCTTTATGTTTCCTCTGGGTTTCAGTCCCAGGGTTTTTTTTTTTTTTTTTTTTTTTTTTTCAGAAAACTGCTCGGGTGTTTACGTGCAGGAATAACTGGTCAGATTGGAGTTGAATTTTGTTAAAACATTATTAACCCTTTCTGCCACGGCATCACTTGTCTGGTTTTGTTGCTTTTCTGGGCCCAAAGCTGAAATACAGCTGAGGCCTAGATGTTCTCTTTAGGGAGGAAAAGGTCAGGGGGTCTAAACTGCATGATTAGTGATATGAAAAGGCAGGGGGTTCAAACCGCATGACCAGTGATATGCTAGAGAGGAAAGGTCACCCTGGGGGCGAGGTTCGTGTTTTCCCAGTTTTGCCCCTCGCTAGGCGTGCTGGTGAGTTTCTGTACCTGGCCCATCACCCTTGCTCTGCTCATGCCTGTCTAACTGCCGGTGACATTTTCACCTATTATTTTATAAATAAAACTTCTGCACCAAATCCTGAGAAAAGAGCTACACAAATATTAAATCAGGTCATCATTATTAGAATCTTATGAAGCAGATACTATTGTTTGGTCTGCCAATTCCTGATGCCAGAGGCATATTAAAATCTTACTCAGTGTTTATAGAATTATACTTGCATTTCTTTAAGTGTTTCCTTTATAGATTTAAGAGTTCAGTGTATATGTACTATTCACTAATAATTAGAAAGTTTTGGTATATGGTTCTTATATTGTGAGTGACTTTTTTTTATCCCTACTAATTTATTTTTAATTATATTTTCCCCCAATATTAATATACTTTTCTACATATTTTTTTTTGGTACAAGTTGTATGGTTTGGGTCTTTACATCCTCATATTTTTCATTTTGTCATTATGCTGTGGTTAAGTCTTGTAAATATCATAGATTTGAGAGTATCTTTCTTTTAATTGTTTAATTACTGCTTGGCATGGCATTTAATTTCTGATGTAGATTTATTTCTAATTTCAGAGAGTTACTGCCATTTACCATGTAGGTTATTGGTTTTATTCCAGTTATTCCTTTAATTTGTTATCCTCTGATTACATTTTCATCTTGGGTTTTTTTGTGTGTATGGATATTTTTTTCGCATTAACATAGTTTGTACAAAAGCTACAAATGAAATGCAAATTTGAATATACAAATATATTTTATTTGCCCTCCACTTGGCAATTACTTGGTTGTATGTAAAATGGCAGGGCTACCGTCAACATAAGAAACATTCAAACCTATAGAGAATGTTTGTGAACCAAACTGTCGACAATTATTGGGAAACACAATCTCAAGGGATTGAGAAAATGCTCCAGAGAATGGCAGTTTTGCACCTTATTTTATACATTACAGTCAAAAGAGAAGATGTAAGTGAATTACATGAAATCTATTGGTGATAGATTAGGGAGGCGGGAGAAAGCAGAGCGGGGAGCCTCTGGGATTGGATAAAGAGTAAAATGAGACATATACTTCTTTTACATTGGGGGGTACAGGATAGTTAACAGTCAACAAATAACAATGAGGGGCTTTGTGGTCTCAGCAGAGCTCAGAGCTGTGACTGTGCTTTGAGGGGTCTGGAAACAAGAAATTACTTTGACATTCCAAAGGTATGTTATTGTAGATGCAACAAGACAACAGGCTTAGTTAAGGTGAAAATTAACCTTGGCCAGGGAAGATCTCTAGCCTAGGGCATGACTACCCACCAAAAACTGCTTTTAGTTAAAAAGTTTTCATTTCAGACCATCCTGTGTGGTTATTTTAGGTTTCTGCGCTGGTAAGGCCACCGTGCAGGCCTTCTCTGAGCCTGTCAGGTTGAGTATGTGGCCCATTTTCATCCCCCTCACAGTTATTTTCTTCTGAGCTCTCAGCATATTGTTCTAGTAGGTCTTCATCCGGAATTCCAGATGAGACAGTTGATGTTTGTTTAATCTCTTTACATTGTAGGAAAGCTGTCAAGGAAATAAAATTTACTCAAGACTTTATAAATTTACATCTTACAAAAGACAAGTGGTTGAAATAAAAACATGTTTGAGAACCTACAGGTCTTCTTTGAAATGCCAAAGACATCTTTGGAAAACCCACAAGAAACAATTGTTACATAACAGTCATGAACTTGAATTTTCTAGTTTAAATCAATGAGGGAAATTTCTGTAGGGTGGAAGTCTGCAAGGAATAGAGACTTTCTAGAGAGAAGTCTGATTTAATTCCCTCTTTGCAATTGAAGTAAATGGATAACTTGGTGAAACTTTAATCAAGAGGTTTCTCTCTCTCCTCCTCTCTCTCTTTTTCCCTACACCCTCATAACTCAGATAAAAGTAAATCAACATTGGCTTTGAAAAGGCTATTGCACAGTAACACTGATGTGTATGTCACAAGACACTTGAGCAGTCTGTGGATTTGCTTTATAAATTTTTCTAAACATTCTTATGCCTTCTCTTAACCTCCCAAGAAAATTGTGAAACATAAGGGACATGGAATTGGAACAATCAACTTTCAACATATGAAAAAAGCTGAACTCATTCAATAAATGGGCAAAGAAAGTAGCTACTAACAAAGCAATAGGAAAAATCATAAAACCCTAACAAAAACTTAGCAGAATTAAAGGAAATATTTTTTAAAATTATAGAAAATATATTTGGGGAAAATTTTTTTGTCTGTAAAATAAAATTGATTTAATTATGGGAGAGTGTTGATTTTTTTTTTTAATTTATAAACTAGCCACCAATTTAGAGCATTTCAATTTCAAGTTTGACCATTTTCAATTTGGCTATGCCATCATGAGGTTTCTTGACCTTAATTTTGTATCCTGCTACTTTGCCAAATTCATTTATTAAATCTAGTAGATTTTTGATGGAGTCTTTAGGGTGTTCTATGTACAATCTCATATCATCTGCAAATAATGACAGTTTTATGTCCTCCTTTCCAATTTGGATCCCTTTTATTCTTTCTTCATGTCTAATTGCTGTGGCTAAGACTTCCAATACTATGTTAAATAAGAGTGACGAAAGTGGGCATCCCTGTCTTGTTCCTGTTCTTAAGGGAAGTGTTTTTTAGTTTTTGCCCATTGAGTATGATGTTGGCTGTAGGTCTTTCATATATGGCCTTTATTATCTTAAGATATGACCCCTCTATTCCCACATTGCTGAGTGTTTTTATCAGAAATGAGTGCTGGATTTTGTCGAATGCTTTTTCAGCATCTATTGGATAAAGGCTTGACTGTTACCTTCAGTTTGGTTTATTGTTCTAATTTACCACCTCAACATCTGGCAGCTCTCCACGGGTAGTATAGCAAACGCCAAGAGTCAATGGATGCAAAGATGAAAAATTTAAGAAGTACCCATTCTTTGTGGTTCTAGGTTATGGGCCTTTTTTGCTTAAGTAAAAATAATTTCTCATGTCAAAATTTATGACAAATAGGATTTAGGAGGGCCTGTAGGGGGAGCTCTCTGGTGGTACAATTGCTTAGCATGAGGTGCTTGAACAGCTGTGTATATGCAGGTGATGCTGCGGTTTCAAGCCTCACCAGGAGCTTGCACATGGCTCACCATGTTTGCAAGTACCAGATTGTAATCCTTTTTATTTATTTATTTATTTATTTATTTATTTATTTATTTATTTATTTAAATCCTCACCCGAGGACATTTTTCCATTTTTTGTTTAGGTAGAGTGGGAGGGAGAGAGAGGAAGAGAGAGAGAGAGAGAAACATCGACGTGAAAGGGACACATCGAGTGGCTGCCACCCGCACGACCGACCAGGGCCGGGGACAAACTGCAACCGAGGTACATGCCCTTAGCAGGAACCGAACCCGGGTCTCTCTGGACCGCAGGCTGACGCTCTAACCGCTGAGCCAAACCGGCCAGGGCTGTAATCCTTTTTTTTGTTTGCTTTTAAACTGTTGACTCTGTATTTTTCATAGTAACTCATCATGGATTTGCATTGTGTATGGGAGGTGGAGGTCTGCTGGTAACCAAGAACATATATTTGCATAACTTTGCCTACTTTTATAAATGGAACTTCTTAGGATTATAGATTTTACTGGTGGAACAAAAATATCAAGTATGAAATTTTTCTTCCCAGGTGACCAATTCTGCATTTCCTTCCATTTTCACATGGAGATCATATTGGCACAAGAAAGCCAGGACTTTAATCTCTGGGACATCAGTCAGGGGCATTTCAAAGTTATGTGCCCTTCTTTGAACATAGGTTCAGAACTGTTCCTGGTCCGGTTTCTTTGGACACTTAAAAGTTTCTGAAAGAGTCCAGCTGGTGTGGCTCAGTGGTTGAGTGTCGACCCATGCACCAAGAGATGCCCAGTTCGATTCCCGGTCGAGGCACATGCCCAGGTTGTGGGCCTGATCCCCAGTGGGGGGCATGCAGGAGGCAGCCAGTCAGTGTTCTCTCTCATCAATGTTTCTATCTCTCTCTCCCTCTCCATTCCTCTCTCTCTCAAATCAATAAAGAAAAAAAATTTTTTTTGAAAGAGAAACTATAATATTACGTTTTCAATTCTGCCTTTGAGATCAAAATGGAAGAAAACACCTCATCTTTGTGAAGAGCTCTGGACACCAAAAGCGTTAGTGAATGTTTCTGGATTAAAAACAAAAAAAGCCTTCCACGTTTACTGAGAGAGTTGTCACGCTGTGAAGTCAGAACTGAGGCTGGCATTGGGATCGGAGGCACTAACTCCGCCGCCTGTAGAAACTCTAGGAACCTTAAGAAGTCTACAAGCAGGAAACCCTTCTATAGGGCACAATCTTTTTTTTTCCCCTTCTCCAGTTAATAAGGCACACAGATTGGAAAGGTCACCTCTTGGGACATCTGGAGACCAGTCAGATGAATGATACCTTCTGAGGTACCAACCCTCCCACTCCAATTACCTCTGAATTTGAAGTAAGCAAAGGAGATGATCATGGTGATGAAGATGATCAGAACACACAGGATCACAGTCATGTCTTCCAGCCACATGGTATCCAGTTGGAAATGTGGATCTGAAGCAGGAACTGAAGAGAGATGCCAGAATTAGGAGGGCCACAGATTTATAATAAATTTACTTTTCAAGATCCTATCCCTTTACTTCTGGGCTTCTCTGAGGGTGGAGAGAAGCAGACCTCCTCTGCTTCTCTGGGCATGTGCATGACCCTAGAGACGAGGGTGACGGCTCAGACGAGGAGGGCCGTGCGAGGCACACACACATTCTTCCCCCCAAGCAGCATGACGCTTGCTTTCTGGTTGGCCAGAGTTTGAAGGGTAAACAGACACATTACGCCTTTTGTTTTTCATCTGGTACTGTAGGCCCCCAAGGATTTCAAGTCTTTTGAGGGGTGTTGTGAAACAAAATAGTCTACAATGAGCAGAATCTCTGAGATGGAAGAGATCTCACAATTCTCCAAATCATCTTCTTATCTGGAGCGGAAGTCTCCTTAAAGTATCCTTTTTGGGTGATGCTAAAGCAGAAAACATGCCCACCCCATAACATTGGTTCATACATCTCGTGATGGGAGCACCACTGCCCCTCTTAGGACATCTGTTTCCCTCCTGGACTTCTGTGCCTACTTTCCTGTAACTAGTTTGCCTCCCTGACGGATCTTCATTGATTCGTAGTGAAGGGGTTCAGAACAGGCCTCCCCAAGATGTGTTACTTTGGTATGGGATTATTTTGAGCAGAAGGCAATCAAGACCTGTGGGCACAAGAAAAATAGGTACCCCTCCTTTAGAGAATTTAAATCAGGGGCCTTCCCCATTATAAGAGTGTTATCAGAGATAACCTTATATGACAGATTTACAGAGCAGGGCAAAATTCTCATTACTGAACATCTGCTCTTCTTATTGTTCTGTGCATTACCCATCTTGCCCCGTAGCCTCAGGCATCCTGCCTTACTCCTTAGCTCAAAATGTCACATAGCCCTCACTTTACCTTTCTGTCTCGAAACCTTTCATATATGTGAGCTCTCTGACTCTCTTATATGTTTGGAGTTCTTGTATATACACATGCATTTAAATGTTATTTGTCTCATGTCTATTTAATTATTAGACCAGCCGAAAGAACCTAGAAAGATAGAGGAAAATTTCTTCCCCAACTTTTCTATCTTGTAGAGAAATACAGCCAAGATGGTGAGGATGGGAAAGAGGGGGTCGGGAAGTCTTAAATCCATGTCCTGAAATAACAGTTGAAATAACTGATGATACTGTTATTAGAGAAGAGAAACGTGAGGCCTTGTGATTGCTGGTCTCACTTTCACGACATGAGGATAAAGAAGCCAAAATATTCCATATGGTCTTAGATTGTACAAATGGAGGGGAAAGATTTCACCTAATTAATATGTATTTTCCTCTCTATAATTGAGATAAATTATATGTCCTTGATAAGGTCAGAGATTCCTTTATAAAAGTAATAGCATAAAAATTTTAAAAAAGCAAAATTGCTCTGGGTACATGTGCAAAAGGAATGAGAGAGAAGAGTCAGCAAACTCTTCCTCGGTCACATACATCTGTTCTTCTCACAATAACATTAAGGAGAACTTCAAGCCTCTTCTCCTATAGGACAGAAAATAATTAAAAACAAAATTAAAGAAAAATCTTGGAAATAAAATAGTCCAAAGATGCTAAGAATATTTATCAAAGGAGTGTGTGTGTGTGTGTGTGTGTGTGTGTGTGTGTTTAAATCTAAGCTGAGTTTTTACTTCCTTTTATTTTCCTACATGACTAGAGCTATCCCTTGCTTAGAAGGCAAGTTAAGGTCATGGGTGGGGTGCAAGTGAAGAAGGACAGGGTAGGAGCTAAGGGGGGAGGGGAAAGGAGATGGCAAACACGTGTAGTCCAGTTTTCCTACCAGATGAGGTCACCAGAAAACGATTCAGGCTAGAATTTCTAACTTTGCCAAGGACAATGACAACAACAGCAAACTATAACATTGCTTATACTATGTGGGAAGCAAGGCTAAATGATTTTGATGTATTGACCAATTTAATTTAAAAATAACCTTATAAAGTATGTATATATAGTATCATCAATACTTCACAGATACTTCAGAGTGTAGGTAACTTTCAAGTTCACACAATTGACAGTGTAACTAGGAAGTCTGGCTCTAGTCTGGCACTGATTCTTGGAAAGAAATGGTTACATCTCTTGAAGATCTCTCTGTGCATAAATCCCACAGAGAACACGGCAGAACGTGTCTGTTGGAGACACAAATGCTGGCTCTCTCTTTATAGAAGGAATAATCACCTGTATTTAGGAAAGCAATCTGCTTTATTGCAAAATATTCAGAATAAGAGACACATGGTTTAAATCCCAGGAATGATCTTATTACTTGCTAGATCAACTAATACAAGTTAATCGTATTTGATGTTCTTCTGTACCTACATCTCCACGGTGGAGAAGGTGATAGGCATTGCTTAAGGATGTGACCGAATCAAAGCACACAACGCTTGTGGGATTTTGTGGCAATTCCTATTTGTTAAATGCATTGTTAAGTGATTTCTGAATTGATAAGCACCAAGAAGAAAAATTAGTCCAGAAAAGGCAGGACAAACAGAAAGTTGCCTGCACAGGGAGGGAGGCTGCTAAAGAAGACGTTTACAGAAGACACAGTATCTTCAGGGGGAAGTGATTTTAAGTAAACAGAAGAAGGGTCAGTAGCAATGAAAGAAGGGTTAGCAGATGGACCAGGGTTATCCACCTAATTCTCAGGCGTTGTCAGCAATGTGGGTAGAGGCCTGTGATGACTTGGTTTTAGCTTCTCAGGGAAGAGCAAGTGAAAATAAAGTTTTAATCTCCTGACTCCTTCTTAAAGATTTCACGTCAGCTTTGACAAGGGCAGGGACCTGCAGCCTATTCTTGGGGCTTTGGGTTATCTCCTGGAAGCCTCACATATCACTAAGTGCCCAGGCTACATTTTCCTGCAGTGATCTAATACTTTGCACAGAATAACTGGGCGTAAATATCTCTCTTTTTATTTCCTCTTCCCAGAGGAATAGTACAATTGTTGAAACAGAGGGCTCTAGGACCTAAGCGCCTGAGCTGGGATCCTCGCTCCACCGTCACTTAGCTATGTAAATGAGCTGTTTAACTCCTTTGTGTCAGATTTCATCACCAATAAGATACAATTCACTGAAGAGTGAGTACAGTTGACTCTTGAACAACGTGGGGGTTAGGGATGCAGATCCCCTGAGCAGTCAAACATCTGCTTATAACTTTTGACTCCCTCAAAATTGAACTACTAATAGCCTACTGCTGATGAGGAGCCTCACTGATCACATAAACAATGAACACACACTGTGTATGTTACATGTATTGTACACTGTCTTCTTACAATAACATAAACTAGAGAAAAAATGCTGTGAGAAAATCTAGGAAGAGAAAACATATCCACATATTTTATGCATTCGTGACACACCTTGTTCTTATTTCCCCCTCAAGGTTTCAGGCTATAAGGTTCCTCTGTGAGCTTTTTCAAATTGTTGCAAATCTCCAAAAATGTTTTCAACATATTTATTGAAAAAAATCTACAGCCCTGGCCGGTTTGGCTCAGCGGTTAGAGCGTTGGCCTGCGGACCAGAGAGCCCTGGGTTCGGTTCCCGCAGGTACGTCAGTTGCAGTTTGTCCCCAGCCCTGGTTGGTGGTGTGGGTGGCAGCCACTTGATGTGCCCCTTTCATGTCGATGTTTCTCTCTCTCTCTTCCTCTCTCTCCCTCCCACTCTATCTGAACAAAAAAATGGAAAAATGTCCTCAGGTGAAGATAAAAAAAAATCTACATATAAGCAAATCTTTGCAGTTCAAACCCATGTTGTTCAAGGGTGAACTGTATATGAATCTATACAAAATCCATAGAACGTATAAGTATGGAACATACCTTCGCTGTTATTGTAGCTCCTTCCTCCTTTCCTCGGACACTGAGGGGGTGGCATTTAGTCTGCTAACATGGTTAATATGCCAGACCCAGATATGCACTTTCTTAGAGTAAAAGGTAAGCAGCATTTTCAGTCTGGCTTGGCTTAAAGCAATTTGTGTCTTCATTTCAAAGGAGAAAATCAATAGATAAAATCCTCTGAATAATCCAGTCCTACTTGATGACTTCCGCATCATAATTCTTTTGGGGATAGCTGCATGACCTTACCTCGCTGCTCACTGCCTGACATGCACAATGTTCGTGGGAACCTCACACACACAGCTGAGGGCGCTTTTCATATGTGCAAGGTTCAGCTCTTCCAAAATTTCCCCAATTTCCTTTATAATTTCACTCTCAAAGAGAGCCACAGAAGAGAAGAATCCGTTTCATGTGTCCATGTACACCATGAAATTCAGCAAAATATGTGTGAAAATATGAATCATTTTGAAAAGAGGGTCCTTTGCATCGGTCTTTAACAGAAATCTGTGCTCCCCCAAAGTTTAAGATATACTGAACTACCATCTCTTCTAGGCTAAAACTGTGGAAAGAATTGGCATATATTATTTGGTGAAGTGATAACTGGAGCTGTTAAAACGGGAGAAAATATCTTCTTTTCCTGGGAGGCAGAATTATCAACAGTGTTTATCCTTAAACCCATAAAATTCGGGAGGCTGCAATCCAAAGCCTATGACATGAGGTCCAAGTGTTTATTGTTTCTGTAATTCAAACACACCTCACACTTCTTTGACTAAATGTTTTACCATAGACTAGGCATTTGGGAAGGGAAATATTTTCAGGAAGTTCCCAACTTTTGATCCCACATACCTCTGTGTTTGTGATGCATATATATAATAAGCAAACTGATTACACCTAGAGAAAGCGCAGTTATCATCACACCCACTACTATAGGGTTTTTCATTTTGCTGCAGCCATCTGAAGAAAAAGAAATATAATGATAATTGGTTATTGATGTGGAGGTAATTTGGATTGGGGAAAATGCACGGAGAAAGCAAGAGCTATATTCTAAGGCCATCCCTCTGTATTTAGAATAGAACTAAGAGGTAGTCTAAGTTAGGATCTAGAAGACCTGAAGGTTCTAAAGGCTTGGGTCTCAAGCTGTTGGTGACTAGGACAAGAGGCACAGCCGTTTCTAGGATGGGACAGGTTTTTGGCTGAGGCCAAATAGACCTAGAGAAAAACAACTCATTTTTCTTTTTCTCCGTCTCATCCATCAATCAATGTGCTTCATTAGAGAGTATGATCATGCACTGGTCATGATCATTGTATCCAGGTTTGAAAGAGGCCAGGAGAAGGATAACTCTGGAGACTTCTGACTGTCTAAGAATCTCGTGAATCAAAGGGTCATCACGCAACATATTGTTTAAGATCTTATTTAGCACATGTCATTATAATGTTGTGTGGCTACCTAGTCTTCCCATGAACATCTTCCATGGTGTGGGGGCTCACCATGATGGCCACTCACTGCCTGTTCTTTGTCATAGACACAGTTTTAGTTAGTGGTTAAATTATAGCATACAAAGATTCATGAGTATTATGGTGGCATAAGAGGTCCCTTGTTTTTGCCCCCCCCCAACAAAATCTGACACCCAACCACAACAAGAAGTGTTTTCTGAGGGAGTTGTGGGCCACAGGGCCAGCTACCAAGGGACCTCGGAGGAGTCTTGCCTACCTGTGCATTGGGGCATAGTCGGACAATCTTTGATACAGACGCTGGAACATTTAGGACACTGTGCACAGGATCTGGCTCCTTTCTTCTGTGGTTTTGAAACACCTGAAAAACATGAACTTAAGCGGTTACCTACCTGAGAGAGTCTTGTGCAGGTCCAGGTTTCCAGAGAAGAAATCAGCACTCCACTGGAGCCAGAAGACCATGCGTGCGGACGCACCGGAGTGCATAAGGGACAGCCCGGCTCCTCTCCACGTAGGAAGAGCGTAGGGCTAAAAGAGATGGCTGTGATTTCTCCCTGGGTGGTGGGGGTGCCAGGGAATAAATGCCTGGCTTTCCCAGCTGTGCAGGAGACTTCCAAGGAGACTCATTCATTTCTCAGAGTATCCAGTGTATTCAACTGGAAGTTCCATGAGTGAGGGGAAGGAGCAGAGCAGGAGACTGCATATAAGATTTAAGGAAGGCATTAGTGGTTATGGTTCTTGCTGACTGCATTATGGGTTCCATCAAGAAGCCTGTCTACGCGGTATGGGGAAAGTCTAACCCAAGGATCTGCCAAATTGGCCTGCCACACCCCCCTCCACTTAGTGACTGGCTCCCTGAGCCTGCTCCGGAGGGCAGCAGTGAGAGCAAGCACTGGGACAAGCCCTGTAGAAGCACTGGGACAAGCCCTGTAGAAGCACTGGTGTGCAGAGCACGAGCAGGGAGCACTATATAGCCACCCGCAGGGGAGCAAGAGATACTGAGAGCAGCCCCATGGTGTGTTGCAAAATCAAGAAAAAATATACAAGCTAAAGAATTCTGCCATAACAGGGTGCAAGCTGGAGCCGGTGTACCCATAAAAGGTCTGAGACAGCCTGAGCATGTGTAGCAGTTGCAATCATGTATCTGATAAGGGGTTAACATCTAAACTATACAACGCATTCATACAACTCAAAAGAAAAAAATCCATTTCAAAAATGGGCAGAGGATCTGAATAAACACTTTTTCCACAGAAGACATACAGATAGTCAACAGATATGTGAAAAGAGGCTCAATATCACTGATCAGCAGGGAAAGGCAAGTCAAGACCACCATGAGTTATCGCCTCATACCTGTTAGAATGACTGTTGTTAAAAGACAAGCAGTAACAACTGTTGGCCAGGATGTGGAGAAAAGAGAATCCTTGTGCAGTGTTGGTGGGAATGTAAATTATTGCGGCCACTATTGAAAACAGTATGGAGGTTCTTCAAATATTAAAACTAGGACTACCATATGATCTAGCAATTCAACTTCTGGGTATGGTCATGTGCCATATTAGGTCACTTAAGTCAACAACAGACTACATATATGATGATGGCCCCATAAGCTTATAATGGAGCTGAAGATTTTCTATCTCCCAGTAATGTCTTCGCCATCATGATGAGGTAGCACAATGCATTACATAAATACTTACCACTGTGTTACAGTTACCAACAGTATTCAGTAGAGTAACATGATGTTCAGATTTGTAGCCTACTAGCTGTAGGGGAATAGAATGTGTCACCCCCAAAATATGTCTACTTGGCATAAAATTATTTTAGGCTGGTTAATTTTAAGAAACAGCAGACATGGGAGAGGCTCTGCAAACCAGTAGAAGATACCCTTTGTAAAATGCATTTAACTTATAAGGAGAATCTCCATTGGTAAGGATGTCTTCCTGGTAATACCAGCAAGACGGGAGATGATCTTATCTTTAGAAACGCTTACCAATGCAGAAGAAAATAACTTAAGTATGCATCAACACCTTACCCTTGTTTACTGTACTTTTCTGGTAATTCCACATAACTGATACCCCACCCCCAACGTCTTTAGTCTTCAGCTGAAGATGCTATTTAAGGTGTTGGCTTCAGCCATTTTGGTGAGGTACTTAGTTTTCCTGGGTCTCTCCCATGTACACAGGAGGTATACATGTTATTAAACTTTGGTTTGTTTTCCCTGACTAATTGTGTGTTTTTAAAAAATATATATTATAATAATGTCTCAGCCAAGAACCAAAAAGCATAGAGGGAACATATTTTTTTCTTTCCTACAGAGCAATAGGCTATACCGTATAGCCTAGACGTGTAGTGAACTATACCTTCTAGATTTGTGTAAGTACACTCTATAATGTTACAAAATAATAAAATTACCTAACAATGCATTTCTCAGAATGTATCCCTGTCATTAAGTGGTGCCTGACTATATTTATTTGAAGAAAACAAAAACACTAACTTAAAAATATATATGCATCCCCATGTTCACTGCAACATTTTCTACAATACCCAAGAAGTAGAAACAACCCCACAAATGTCAATGAATGAATGAAGAAAATGTTACACACACACACACACACACACACACACAAATGGAATGCTATTCAGCCATATATAGGAATAAAATCTTGCCATTTGTTTTAACATGGATGAAACTTGAGGGCATTATGCTAAATGAAATAAGAAAGAGAAAGATAAATATGGTATGATTTCACTTACATGTAGAATCTAAAAGTAAATAAGTAAATGAAACAAAAGATTTTAGAAAGGAACAAGCTTAGCCCTGACCAGTGTGGCTCAGTTGGTTGGAGCATCGTCCTATACATCGAAACGTCACTGGCTCAATTCAAGATCAGGGCACAAGCCCAGGTTGTAGGTTCAATTCCTGGTTAGAGCGTGCACAGGAGGCAACTGATCGATGTTTCACTCTCACATGGATGTTTCTCTTGCTCTCTCCCTCTCCCTCTCCCTCTCCCTTCTTCTCTCTCTAAAATCAACAAACAGCATGTCCTTGGGTGAGGATTAAACAAGCAAACAAAAACAAGCTTTTAGACACAGAGAACAGATTGGTGGTTGCCACAGGCAGGGTGTGAGGGTGAGTCAGGCCAGTAAACCAGGGCAAGTGGAATAGGGAAACTGAGGCAGATGGCTAAACAAACTGACAGAGCAATTTACAGCATGTACAGAAGGCCACCTCCCTAGAAATAACATCTAGGCCTCAGTTGTACTTCAGCTCCAGACCCAGAACAGCAGCAAAACCAGATAGGCGACACTAAGACCAACTGCAATGACTAATGACCCCTTGCCCAGACACTGATGGATCAGTGAAGACCATGACCCTGAAGGAGCACAGCTAGAAAACTAATGAATATTCTGTTGAAACCTTCCCTGGAGACCACCCCTAAGATTCCTGTCTGCAAGAAAAAAATAAAAGCCTCGAGACAAAGGACCCAGCGTGTGCTCTCCCTTGGGGAGTAGCCCTCGACATTCCCCTTGTCCTCTCCTTCCCACACTGCCTCCCCACAGACATGCATTTCCTAAACTCTGAGGGACCCCATGAGGCCTGCAGCCAGGCGAGCAATGGGCAGCAGCAGCTCGGCTCGGGTTAATTCCTGGAACCTGTTCCCAAGGCCCCCTTTTCTCTGACTTCCTAGAGAACCAAGGCAGGCCAGTCTAGGTTCTCCTGTTGCTTCTGTGCTAAGCCCTTTCTTGTTTTACTGTCCTCAGCTTTAATAAATGTTCTGTCATAGTCACCTGGACTCGTGTTCTGAAATTTTTCCTGCATGAAGTCAAGAACCCACACACTGCTGGCTGGCCCTAGGCAGACCCACCAAGGGCCAGGTCCCCTTTTTGGTAACAGGGGGTTGGGCAAAATGGGTGAAGAGAGTCAAAAGATACCAACTTCCAGTTAAAAACTAAGTCATGGGAATAAATTACACAGCACGGCAACAATAGTTGATAATACTGTATTGCATATTTGAAAGTTGGTAAGAGAGTAGAACTTGAAGGTTCTCATCACAAGAAAAAATGCTGTAACTCTAGTGATGGACGTTAACGAAACTTGTTGCAGCTTAAGCTCCCCCACCCTCTTTTGCATCTCTCACCTTTCAAACTTACTTACTTTTTAATCTTTTATGTAGATCAACACTGGGCATCATGATAAAGATCAGCAACAGAGCCAGCATCAGGCTTATAATCAGTATCCAAAAAGTGTTCCACGGAAACAATTGACCTGAAATAGAGAGCCACAAAGCTTACCACTTAGGAAACTTAGACCCACCAAACCCAGAATGGTGATTCATACAAAGCACGTTTCCTTTCAAGACCCCATGACTCCGGGATGTTAGCCCTAAGTCAGTTTGGGACGGCAATTATAATTTGGTGTTTGAAGAGTGAGAAAAGTCTGGAGTGGGCTGAGCCAGGTGTGAGTAAATGTTAGTGAAGGAATGCCTCCCTCCAGTCCTCCCATCCACTCTATCTGATGTTCTCCCCACGAAGTCTCAGACCCAGCTTAGTCCTTCAGTCCTTTTGTCTAAGCAATCAATGCATGTGCAGTCCTGAATTCTCTAGCATAGTCACTGGGTCTGGCATTATGCTTCAGAATACACTTAGAGAAATATGTTTATGTACACTTTCCTCCTTTTCCATTCTATGCCCAAGCACTTCTTTGGCCTGTGGGCTTACACATACTGGGCATGGACATCTGCCATTTTGTTTGGTATTCTGATGTCTTTTTTCCCAGCGAAAAACCTCTGTTCTACCTAGGATACACCATATGTACAAGGAAGTAAACCCAAGAAGGTGCTAGAGAGTAAATCACAAATTCTGCTACTCACAAGTTTAGCTAGGCTTGGTGGGCAGGAATCTGGATTGAACAGATACAATTCATGGGATTGAGAACCCATTACTTTGGAGCCAACCTTATATCTAGATGAGCTCTCCTACACTGCAACCCAGTGAGCTGAAAAAGAGCTTCGTCTGCTCACAAGCCAGACAGGGACAGAATCCAAAGTGAAACTGAATTTTTTATTATGATCTTTTCTTTATCATAAGTTTTGAATCATATCCATGTTTGCTGATGTTCAGTGAATGGAAAATAAGATTTCCCTCAGATGTCTCAATTTCCCAGAACTTTAACTCAGTTCCTTAAATTTGTGTTAATTACATTTCTTTTAATACATGTTTTCAAAAGTGCATATCTACTTTAGAAATGTGTTAACTCAGAAAATATGCATCCTGTTATTTACTGAAGTTGTAAATAAGTTAACAAAGATTTTATCCATTTCCCTTTCTTTGTCTTCTACATATATTCTGTATGAACTCTGGGGACAGAGGGTAGGTAGTTCAGTTTTCTTTGTCCCCTGTAACTTCTTGTCTCTGACACAACCATAATATGAAGCTTTGGTTATTTTCTGGAAGATCAAATGGGCAAATAAATATAGAAATAATATAAAAGTAGCAAATTGTTAAGTCTGTTAGGGAACATATTCTTATTATAATATTCTTGAATTAGAATATTCCTTTTAGCATCTGGCTCCAAAATTAATTTCATGGACATACACAAATACTAATACATATATATTTAGTTGGCTGTTTACAAGGCACTCATTTTGTTTCATTCCAATCATTCAAGTATCCAATATGTATTGCTTAACCACTGTGGACTTGAAGCAGTTGGGGAATATCTAGTACACAAAGCCAACAAAGCACTCTACCTTCATATTTTAGAGAGGGAGATAGATGATGGACAGTAAAAATAACAAATAAGTTACAGAATAAGCTAAAAGCATATCATATTATGTTAAAATATTATAGCAAGGTAAAAAGATAGGGAATCCCAGGTAGTAGGGGCAAATTGATTTTTTTAAATTAATTTGTCAAAGTAGTCCTTATGAAAAAAGGTGAGAGTTTAGCATGAACTTGAAGGAGATAAGGACATGTAGTGAATCACAGTGTCCTGGAAAGAGGGAGCAACTAGAGTGACGGCCCCCACACAGGAACAAGTCTGGCATGGCTGGGGAACAGCAAGGAGGTCCATGTGACTAGACGAGAGCAGATCAAGGAAAATATTAGGGGATAAGGTGAAATGGGTAATGAGGGCACAGGTAATGCAGGACATTGTGGAGTATTTTACTCTGAATAAAATGGGGAACTACTGCAAGGTATTGAACAAAAGGTAATGTTGTATGTTTTACGTTTTAAATGAGTCCTCCTATCTATATATTGAGAATATGCCATAGTGGACAAGAGTAAGAAACAGGGAGAGCTTTTCAGGTGCTATTACCAATATCCACACCATGGGTGATGGTGTCTCAGACTCGAATGGCAGAAGTAAAATGGTGAAACTCTGGATTGATTTTAAAGGTAGATAGCTCTTTTGAAAAAATGTGATATAAAAATATGAGAGCCCTGGCCGGTTTGGCTCAGCGGTTGGAGCGTCGGCCTGCGGTACAGAGAGACCCGGGTTCGGTTCCCACTAAGGGCATGTACATCGGTTGCAGTTTGTCCCTGGCCCTGGTTGGTCATGCGGGTGGCAGCCACTCGATGTGTCCCTTCACATTGATGTTTCTCTCTCTCTCTCTTCCTCTCTCTCCCTCCCGCTCTATCTGAACAAAAAATGGAAAAATGTCTTCGGGTGAGGATAAAAAAAAAATGAGAGAAAGATGGGAGTCAAGAATAACTTCAAGAGATGCTAAAATGGTGGCAGAGTGAATGGAAGCTACACAGACCACCTCCCAAAACCAAACTGGAATTACAACTAAAGTAAAGACAAATCATTAGGAAAAAGCAACAAAAAAGCAGTTGGAGAGGACCCATATAACCAGGGTCAGGAAAAAAGGACACTGAATCAAGCCTGGTGGGTCTAAAGAGGTGTGAGAGGGAGGGCTGGGAGCCCATGAACAGCAGCTGTTTTAGCTGTGACCAGCTCCCTCGGGGTTAAAATCCACGGTGCTTCACAGCACAGAGAGCTGGGACAGAGCACTAAATTAGTACAGCTATTCACCTTGAGCTCTAGCAGAGGGAGGGCAGACTGGACTGGAAGTTTGTGGGGAGACTCAGGATTTGGAGGGCACTGAGAGTTTTTGCTGAGCCATGCACTCACAGGATAGTGGCCATATTGCTCAGGGATCCCCTTCCCCGAGCCCTGGGGAGAAGCAGCAGCTTCTCCCTTGGAGATTTAACCCCACTAAGCTGGGTCATAGAATGTAAATTGAGGCTCATTAAAAACCAGCATCTGGCCCTGGCCGGTTTGGCTCAGTGGTTAGAGCGTTGGCCTGCGGTCCAGAGAGACCTGGGTTCAGTTCCCGCAAAGGGCATGTACCTTGGTTGCAGTTTGTCCCCGGCCCTGGTTGGTCGTGCGGGTGGCAGCCGCTCGATGTGTCCCTTTCACATCGATGTTTCTCTCTCTCTCTTCCTCTCTCTCCTCCCGCTCTGTCTGAACAAACAGTGTAAAAATGTCCTCGGGTGAGGATAAAAACAAACAAACAAACAAACAAACAAAACAGCATCTGTTCCACCTTCTGGAAATCTTCTTTCCCTGAACACCTGAGGGAGTTTTTTTTTATTCAGTTGAGGGCTATAACCCAAGGCTCATCAAGGAACTGAGACTAAAGCCTTCAGGCAAAAAGCTAGAGGATAACTGAACTTTTTCTGGGCTTGAAAATCTACCCAGGAAAGTAAGATTTGACAGTGGTGTTTAACATGGGTCTTCCCACACTCATCCAAAGTCAGTAGAGGGAGCCACAAACAGCAGAACATCAATATCCACAGGGAAAATTTGGCAGGCTTGAAAATCCACTGAGATAGCCAAAATGGTGAAAGAAAGAAACAAATCCCAAATGAAAGAACAAGAGAACTCTACTGAAGATGAGATCAATGAAATGCAGTTAAGCAAGTTATCAGAGGTAGAGTTCAACGTGATGATCTTGAGAAAGCTCAACAGCATGAGTAAGGAGCTCAACACCATAAGTAAAGATATAGGAAAACTGAAAAACAACCAAATGGAAATAAAGAATGACATAGCAGAAAAAAGAACACATTGGAAGGAATAAACAGCAGAGTAGATGAAGCAGAGGAATGGATCAGTGAATTAAAAGACAGGGTAGAAAAAAAAATCAATCAATCAGAGACACAAAAAGAAAAAACAATTAAAAAACAGGAAGACAGTTTAAGAGACTGTGGGACAACTGAAAATGTAACAACAGTCACATCATGGAAGTTCCAGAAGAAGAAGAAAATGAGCAAGGGTTAGAGAATCTATTTGAAGAAATAGTGACAGAAAACTCCTATCTTGGTGAAGGAAGAAGGCATTCAAGTCCAAGAAGCACAGAGAGCCCCAAGTAAGAAGAACCCAAACAGGCCCACACCAAGACACATAATAATTAAAATGCCAAAAATTAAAGACAAAGTGAGAATCCTAAAGGCAGTAAGAGAAAAGCAACAGGTAACCTACAAAGGAACCCCCATAAGGCTATCAGCTGACTTCTCAACAGAAGCACTATAGACCAGAAAGGAAAGGCATGAAGTAATCAAGGTAATGAAAAACAAAGATCTGAATCTAAGACTACTTTATCCAGCATGGCTATCATTCAAAATAGAAGGTGAAATAAGGAGCTTCCCAGACAAAATAAGACTAAGGGAATATATAAGCACCAAACCAGCACTGCAAGAAATGTTAAAAGGACTGCTGTAATTAGCAGAAAAAATAGGAAGAAACATATAACCACAATAAACAAAAATGACAATAAATAAGTACATATTAATAATAACCTTAAATGTAAATGGATTGAATGCTCCAACCAAAGGACACAGAGTAGCTTATTGGATAAGAAAGCATGACTCATATATATGCTATTTACAAGAGACCCACCTCACAACAAAAGTCTCACATTCGTTGAAAGCGAAGGGATGGAAAAAAATCTTCCAAGCAAATGGAAAGAAAACAGCTGGGGTAGCAATACTCATATCTGATAAAATAGATTTCAAAATGAAGGCCATAACTAGAGACAAAGAAGGCCACTACATAATATTGAAAGGATCTATCCAACAGGAAGATATAACCTTGATAAACATATATGCACCCAATATAGGAGCACCAAAATATATTAAAAATATTCTGGAGGACTTCAAAGGAGAACTCGACAGCAACACAATCATAGCAGGGACTTCCAACACCCTGCTGACATCACTGGATAGATCCTCTAGACAAAAAGTTAACAAGGAAACAGAGACTCTAAATAAAGCACTAGATCAAATGGATGTACTAAATATCTACAGAGAACTACACCCCAAAACTACAGAATTCACATTCTTCTTAAGTGCACATGGGACATTCTCAAAGATAGACTACATGTTAGGACACAAACTAAGTGTCTACAAATTCAAGAAGATTGAAATTATATCAAGGATTTTATCAGATCACAATGACATGAAAATAGAAATCAATTATAACAAAAACATGCAAAGATATTTGAACACATGGAGGCTAAATATCATGTTATTAAACAATGAATGGGTTACCAAGGAGATCAAGGAAGACATTAAAAACTTCCTGGAAACCAAGAAAATGAACACACAACAAAATACAATCTATAGGACACAGCAAAAGTAGTCCTGAAAGGGAAGTTCATAGTACTACAGGCCTACCTCAAGAAACAATAAAAATTTCTAATTGACTATCTAACCTCACAACTTAAAGAACCAGAAAGCAAACAAAAAGAGAACCCTAGAGCAAGTAGAAGAAAAGAAATAATAAAGATCAGAGCAGAAATAAATGACATAGAGACCAACAATACAGTTCAAAAGATCAATGAAACAAAGAGCTGCTTCTTGGAAACAATAAATAAGATTGATAGACCCTTAGCTAGACTCACCAAGAAACAAAGAGAGAGAACCCAAATACACAAAATCAGAAATGAAAGAGGAGAAGTAACAACTGACACCACAGAAACACAAAGGATTATTAAAAAATACTATGAGCAATGATACGGCAACAAATTGGACAATCTAAGTGAAATGAACAAATTTCTAGAAACACATAGTCTCCCAAAACTGAACCAAGAAGAGAAAGAAAACTTGAACAGACCAATAACAACAAAATAAATTGAAGATGTAATCAAGACTCTCCAAACAAACAAAAGCCCAGGCCTAGACAGCTTCATGGGGGAGTTTTACTGAACATTCAAAGAGGTAACACCCATTCCCCTTAAACTATTCCAAAAAATCCAAGAAGAAGGAACACTTCCAAATTCATTTTATGAGGCCAGCATAATTCTAATTCCAAAACCAGATAAAGACACTACAAAGAAAGAAAACTACAGGCCAATATCCCTGATGAACATAGACGCCAAAATCCTGAACGAAATACTAGCAAATTGGATCCAGCAATACATCAAAAAAATTATTCACCATGACCAAGTGGGATTCATCCCAGGGATGCAAGGCTGGTACAATATTCGCAAATCAATAAATGTGATACACCACATAAACAAAATGAAGAATAAAAACCACATGATCATATCAATAGATGCTGAAAAAGCATTTGACAAAATCCAGCACCCATTTCTGATAAAAACACTCAACAATGTGGGAATACAGGGATCTTATCTCAATATAATAGAAGCCATATGTGAAAAACCTACAGCCAACAGCATACTCAGTGAGCAAAAACTAAAAGCATTTTCCTTAACAACAGGAACAAGACAGGGATGCCTACTTTCACCACTCTTATTTAACACAGTACTGGAAGTCTTAGCCACAGCAATCAGACATGAAGAAAAAATAAAAAAGATCCAAATTGGAAAGGAGAAAGTGAAACTGACATTATTGGCAGATGACATGATATTATACATAGAAAACCCTAAAGACTCCATCAAAAATTTACTAGACTTAATAAACAAATTTAGCAAGGTAGCAGGATACAAAATTAACATCAAGAAATTGACAGCATTCTTATACACCAATAATGATCTCACAGAAAGAGAAACTAAAAGAGCAATCCCATTTACCATTTCAGCAAAAGAATTAAGGTACCTAGGAATAAACTTAACCAAAGAAGTAAAGGACCTATTTGCAGAAAACTACAGGATGTTGAAAAAAAAAAAGAGAGAGAGAGAGAGAAAGATATAAGAAAGTGGAAGCATATACCTTGTTCATGGATTGGAAGAATTAACAATATTAAAATGTCCATACTACCCAAAGCAATTTATAGATTCAATGCAATCCCCATCAGGCTACCAACAACATAAATCACAGAACTAGAACAAATGCTTCAAAAGTTCATATGGAATCAAAAAAGACCCTGAATAGCCACAGCAATCTTGAAAAAGAAGAACAAATAGGTAAGATCATGATACTGGATATCAGGTTATACTACAAAACCACTGTAATCAAAACAGCCTGGTACTGGCACAAGAACAGGCATATAAATCAATGGAACAGAACAGAGAACCCGGAAATTGACCTAAGACATTATGCTCCATCATTATTTGACAAAGAAGGCAAGAACATACAATGGAGTAAAGACGGCCTCTTTAATAAATGGTGTTGCAAAAATTAGACAGCTCCATGCAAAAAAATGAAACTAGACCATCCACTTACACCATATACAAGAATAAACTCAAAATGGATAAAAGACTTAAATGTGACTCGTGAATTCATAAAAATCCTAGCAGATAATGTAGGCAACAAAATTTCAGACATATACAGCAGAATTTTCACTGATACATTACCCAAGGCAACAGAAACAAAGGAAAAAATGAATACATGGGACTACATCAAACTAAAAAGCTTCTGGCCCTGGCCGGTTTGGCTCAGCGGTTAGAGCGTCGGCCTACGGTCCTGAGAGACCCGGGTTCGGTTCCCGCTAAGGGCGCGTACCTCGGTTGCAGTTTGTCCCCGGCCCTGGTCGGTTGTGCGGGTGGCAGCCACTCGATGTGTCCCTTTCACATCGATGTTTCTCTCTCTCTCTCTCTGTTCCTCTCTCTCCCTCCCACTCTACCTGAACAAAAAAATGGAAAAATGTCCTCGGGTGAGGATTAAAAAAAAATAATAATAAAAATAAAAAGCTTCTGCATAGCAAAATAAACAACCATCAAAATGGAAAGAGAAGCCACTATATGGGAAAGCATAATCGCCAACCATATCAGGTAAGGGGTTAATTTCCAAAATATATAGAGTGTTCATACAACTCAACAAAAGGAAGACAAAGAACCCAATTTAAAAAATGGGCAGATGACCTAAATAGACACCTCTTCAAAAAGGACATACACATGGGCAAGAGACATATGAAGACATGCTCAAGGTCACTAATCACCAGAGAGATGCAAATTAAAACAATGATGAGGTATCACTTCACACCTGCCAGAATGGCTGCCATCAACAAATCATCAAGCAACAAGGTTGGTGAGAGTGTGGAGAAAAGGGGCTATAGTACACTGCTGGTGGAAATGTAGACTGGTACAGCCACTATGGAAAACACTATGGTGTTTCTTCAAAAAAATTAAAAATTGATCTGCCATTTGACCCAGTGATCCCACTTCTAGGAATATATCCCAAGAAGCCTGAAATACCAATCAGAAAGAATATATGTACCCCCATGTTCATAGCAGCACTATTTACAATTGCTAAGATCTGGAAACAGCCCAAATGTCCATCAATAGATGAGTGGATAAAAAAGCTGTGGTACATATATACAATGAAATACTATGCAGCTGTAAGAAACAAAGATCTCTTATCCTTTAAGATGACATGGTAGGACCTGGAGAGTATTATACTAAGTGAAATAAGCCAATCAGCAAAAGACAAATACCAAATGTTCTCACTTATTTGTGGAATATAATGAACAGGGTGGGCTGATGAATAAACTAGACCCAGAGACATGGAAAGGAGTATGGTTCAAACTGACAAACCTCAGAATAGGGGGGTGAGGGGAATGGATGAGATGAACCAAAGAACTTATATGCATGTGTGGATAACCAATGGACATAGACAACAATGCTGGGCGAGGGAGGTTGGATGGGGAGGATGGTGTGTAGGGGGGAACAAGGAGAAATATCTGTAACAAAAATAAATTAATAAAAGTTGAAAAAAATGTTTGACAAAGGAGGAAAGAACATTAAAAAAATGACTTCAAGGATTTTGTTCTTTGAAACTGAATATGAAGTGTGATTGGAAAGGCAATAAATTATCAAGTCAGGAGCTAATTAGGAGTTTAGTGTTTGCTGTGTGTGATTTGAGATATTTATAGATTTCCACATTGAGATGTTGAGTTGAGAGATGAGACTAGAGTTTGGGAGCAAGGTCAAGGTAGGAGATATCATTTGGGGAGGCACTGCCATATTGTTGGTACATAAAGCCATGACTTGGAATTAAGACACAAGAGAAAATGCTCAAAGAGTAAGCCTTGGGCAGCTCCTGTATCAAAAAGGCAGAGAGAAAAGATAAAGATAAAGTAGCAGAAGAGAATAAGAAAGAAAATGAGCAAGATAATGAAAAAAGCCAAGAGAATGTAATAACCAAGAAACCAAGTGAAGAAAATATATTAATTTTCTCTTGTTCATGAATTTTATGACAATGGTCATCATCTGAAGAACAAACACACTGATCTCACCTGATAGGACAATGCTTGTCCTTTCCTCTTGACCAGTTAAGGGGTTTCGAAGGTAGCAAGTGACATTCTTCTGGGAGCTCTGTTTAAGGAGGAGGGTTATCGTCATGTTGAACAATTTCTCTGTATCCTGTGAATGAGACTTTGCAGTGGGCGGAATGATCTCTCCTCTGCGGTCTCTCCATTCCATCTGAGGTTGTGGGAACCAACCTCCTGAACTGCACTCCACTAAAATACCTTTGATATTAGGAGGGTGCACAAGAAGCTGTATTTCTTCACCCGTAGCTGGTTGGAAAGAAAGAGGAAAAACAGAATTTTTAGGCGGAGAAAAGGGGAAACAACACAGAGAAAGAAAAGTCCCCTCTCGCACTCTAATCCCTGTTCCATTAGACATACTGGCAGCCAAGCACTGATTGGCACTACAAACAGTATAAACCAGACTGAAGGGTTATGGTTTACAAATTAACAGTTCAGGGGAGAAAATGCCTATTTGTTCCAAAATATTAATTTAAAAATGTTGGTTATTTACTAAATCTAGGAGACTGAGCTGTATCTATGGATATAATAATGAACAAAAACAGTCATGATCTCAGCCCTCCTAAGTTTATAGCTTAATGTTTTTTTTTGTATCTTTAGCAATTAGTCATGTTTGAGCTGACATAAATTATAAGTAAACAAATAATATAAATGCGTTTACAACTTTAATAAGATTTTTATATGCGCCTGCATATAACAGCTACGTGCATAAAATAGGTAATACACTACTATTATAAAAATAAAGCAGTACATATGAGTTTAGAGAAAATAAACTAGTTTTTACAAAATTTCAGGATATTGCCTGGGACATAAGACTTGCCTAAATGTGTGGCCAAGAGAAAAATAATAGGGATTTAAAACATTACTTTAGAGCAGCTCTGCTCAATCAAAGTTTCTGCAGTGATGGGAATATTCTATATCTGTGCTGTCTGATACAGTAACTATTTGTTACATGAGGCTATTAAGCATCTGAGATTTGACCAGTGAGAATTGATTTTTAATTTTACTTAATTTAAATAGTCACATGCAGCTAATGGTTGTTATGTTGGATAGCTTAGCTCTAAGATATAGTACTGAGTATCATAATATCCAATAAAAATGTTGAGTGTTAGTGGGCCAGCACCCTACACTAGCACCGCACATTTGTGAAACCTTTCAGTTTACTTCATCCTCCCTCTCCCTACCATTTCTTTGTCATTCAGAATACTTCAGGAGCGAGGCGATTGATTTAAATACTATATTTTTGCATACAATATACACATGGCATATATATTAGAAGACACTAAAAAGTGTGGATGAATGATTTTTGAAATAGATTTAAGAAAATTAGTCTGAAACTAAGTAGTCAATGAATTGAGTCAGATTTAGGTAGTTTACAAAGTCAGGTTTCACTAACGTGTTGTCAGAAATAATTAAAAACAGTAATAAATCCTGAAAGGATTCTGTTGGTACTTTACAGATCCAACAGTGTATGTGGACATGAGAAAACAGTTCTTGCTGATAAAGTAATGTGTGCAGACACAATTTGCATTCTTAATCTTACATTCTTCTCAGTTCCAAGAGTAAATGCATGAATTTGAACTTGCTAACCAAACTATGTGATATGAAAATAGTTAGAAACACTGAGGATTGTTCTAATACTCAGGATGGGTGGACAATCATTGGTTGAGAATCATGGGTGCATGGTAACCTCAAAAGAACCCATCCTTACCTGCGACCTTCACTTCTGTGATGGTTTCTTCATAGAAATCACCATCTCTGAAGAAGCAGTGGTACTTTCCATCGTCATCAACACTGACATTGAAGATCTTGAGGGTTACGTTACCATCTTTGATATCATCCTTCACGAACTTTGTCCGCTCCACATACCTGGAGATAGTTTCTCCATACAGGTCTTTACCAGCCTTGTATAGGTGAACAGGTTGTGTGTAGCGGTTCCGGAACCAGCGTATTTCCATGTGTCCTGCATCTTGTGGTGGGGACAGCTGACAGCTGAGGCTAACTTCTCCACCCAGTGGAGCCAAGATTGACTCCTGTAAGCCAGTCACTGTAAACTTTTCTGGGAAGGAAAATGGTAACCAAATAGTGAGATTGTGATCCAGGTCATACTTTATAATTGAATATATATATATATATATATATATAATGAGACACACACACACACACACACACACATATTCCACATGTTGCAATGAAGTGTTGGAGGCCATTCTGCCACATTTATATATTGTATAAATGTGTGTATATATACATTGTATATTTCTGTTCCTAATAATTCCACATTAAATTTTCAACTTGACTCATAAGGATAATCTGTGACCATTGATATGTAGAATGGTAGGAACACAGATCATACAAATACCACCTGTAGGACTACATTACTGTTTTAGTATCTTGTCAGAGACCCCCAATATTTCCCTTTTATTTGATTCTCTTTAAGCTCAAGATGAAAATTTCAAAAAAACAGACCAATTAAAAGGGGTATTCCACCAGTTCTTAACAAAGGACTCGTGATCGCTAAGTGCTTAGTCAAATCATGTAGGCTGACTGATCTGCACAGGCAAACAGTCTTCTCCAAAGAGTGTGGCCATGACTCTTGCTCTTGCTCTTGCCTCAGGCCAACACCAACATCTTGTGGTGGGGACAGCTGACAGCTGAGGCTAACTTCTCCACCCAATGGAGCCAAGATTGACTCCTGTAAGCCAGTCACTGTAAACTTTTCTGGGAAGGAAAATGGTAACCAAATAGTGAGATTGTGATCCAGGTCATTCTTGCTCAGATGGCAGGAATCCACACTGACCTTAACACTTGACAAACTTCTCTTTTCATCTCTTTAGAACTCAGAAATTGCTCTGTGAATATTTTCTCTGTATCTCTCAAAGGATAATATCTCTAATGGACTATGTAGGGGGGATTTTTTTTTCCATCTAGACTATATTCTCATACTTTTGGTGGAGGGTGTTTTAATCTTTGGACTCAAAGAAGGGTAAAAATTTGCAAAGTCCTTATTTATCGATTCTAAATGAGTTTGTTCGTTTTTTGTCCCCTAAAGTAGAAAGCCATATACCATACAACCCAATGAAGGGGAAAATAAGACTTGGATGTATGTTGACCTTGTTTATTCATGTATGCATTTTAAGTTGATTTCTTTGTAATTATGCAGCATTATAGATTCATACGGAAAGACTTTAAATATAGAATGTTTTAAATAAAAAAATTAATGTGTCCCAAATGCGCATGCCAGAGAAATATTGTCCACATTTAGAAACAAGTCATCCAATAACAGATTAGGGAAGAAATTAAAGATAAGTTCAGACACTGTTAAGAATGTAATCGTAATACTTGCTAAAATATACTAAGCACTTACGATATGCATGACAATATTCTAAGCCTGAAAATATTAAATAAATAAAAAACAATATACCATATTCATGAAAGGGGAGAATTAATTCCTAAAAAGTTTCAAATCTCCCTTCCCCACTAAAGTATAAGCTCAGTATAGTTCCAATATCCCAATGGTTTTTTGTTTTTCATAAAAATTGAGAAGACCAATCAATGTGGATGAGCGAAGGCTGATAGGAGTGTGCCAAAACACCACTGAGGAAGAGGAGAAGGAAAATGGGCAAGAATGAAAAATTTGGAGTTAAAATAAAGAAGGAGGAGAGAATAAGGAGGGAAAAAAAATGGAGGTTGAAACATATTGAAAATCTTTAATATAAATTGAACCATTTTTTTCTGATTAGATTCATTTATTGCAAGGTATTACACCACAATTTTTCTAACAATAAATGTTAGCAGTTTGAAGATCAATACAGTATAAGAATTGTTAAATATTACTTTAAACAAATTATTGAATTTTGTTCAATATTTTATTTATAGCTTTAAATTTATTCTCATACAGCTTGTGATGTCAGGACTAATGGTCATTGTTATATTTAAAATCCTTCCTATTTTTCTTTATCTCCTTGAGTTCCTCACAAAGCATGGAAATAAAAAATTTTGAAAAGATCAACAATAAGTATAAATTCTAAGCCTGTTTTAAGAAGAGTTCTTTGATGAGATATTTTTCCACTTTATTAACTTAAATGGCCATGGACATAGAATGGTTTTCTATGGTTTGAACAAAATTTTGTAAACACTTTTTTTAAAATGTAAAACTATCCAATTTACTAATATTTCCTAGTTTGATAAAATACATTTGTACTGATCATTCATAACTAGCTTTCTGAGATTAGATCAATTTAAATCTTTATTGTAGTTGAATTGATTTGTTTTTCTGAAAACAGCCTAATTAAGGAGATATGAAAATACAATTTCCATTACTGTTGTTAAAAAAACTGCTACCACCTAATCAGTGCTCCTTACTTTCTATTAGATTGTTTTTAAGATTTACCGCATTTTAACTATAATGAATCTACATATAAATTATTTTCTTTTTCTGGCTTAAGCTTCATAGTGCTCTTTGAATTGGGTAATTCTTATTTTTCTACAACTATGAAAACTTCTCACCGATTACATGTTGAATTTCATTACTTCTCTTATTCTCTATATTCTCTTATCATATGAATTCTGTGTTCATCGCATAGTGTCACTCTTTTCTTGGGTATCACCAGCAAGATGTCTTAGACCACCACCACTTGCTCCTACAATTGTCCCCCCGTAAAGATGTTGCATTCTTCGTTTTACCTTTTTGATACACCTTGGCTACCACACTTGTTCCTTCAATTTAGAGACAGAAACTCTCAAAGTTGATATTTAGTCCCTGGCTAGAATAAGGTGTGGGAATAGCAGACATTTCAGAGGTTCTTGTTTTTGTCCCCTGACCCACTGATTGAGGGAAGGATGCAGAAATAGTCGACAGTTGTGGGATCTTCATTTTGGCTGTGATGGCTTGCTTGTCCCTCCCAATCCCTTCTGTTATATTTCTGATTGGTATAGACTACCAAATCAGTTTAAGCTTTTTTCACCCTTGGAGGTTCGAGTCTTAGTACCAATGTGTGATTAATCAATTAATATTTAAACACTGAAAATTATTTTGTAAATAGGAAGGAATACTATTTTATGTATATATTGTTTAATTCCCATTTTATTATAGGCTTATATAATGATGATTTGAAAATAATTTGAAATATCTGAGCATTGCCAATGAAGTTAATTTTATTCCCTTAATTAAACTTTAGTTACAGATCTAAAATACTGATTCTTTTGAGTGTATCTTAAGTGTATTATGTAACAAACAAAATAATCACTAATAGAGTGATTACAAGCTAATCATCACATGAACCTTTATACTTATTTTAATATAATAATTATGTGAGTTAAATCATTTTATCATTATTCTCTACTAGTCTATATATCCAGTTGGATATATACTTTGATACATTTTAAAGTTGTATAATATTAATTTTAATAAATATTCAAGCTTACAACAATTTTGCAGATGACAAAGACAAAATTTCTGATATAATTGAAAATACTGAGACATTTTCTATTACAACCAACAGTATGGTAAGCATAACTCAATGTATCAATATAAAATCACCAAAATAAAAATAACTTGAACTATTTTGAAAATATATGTCTATAAATGTTTATAAAAAATTAAATTTTGAAAGAGCACTGGCCACGAATTATCTCTAAAAGATTAAAATGTATTTTATAAATGCATTTTTTTCTTTTAAAATCTGAAATTTGCCCATGAGAAGAGAGTTCAATGGGACAAAGTTTAGAAATTCAAATTCAAAAATTTAATTTATGACAAAGATGACATTTGGTATCAGTGCAGAAAGATGAATTATTTAATAAATGGAAAGAACAACTAGGTTTTTTTTTATGGTACGTGCCCTAGTGGGAACTGAAGCCAGGACTCCCTGGCCCACAGGCCGTCGCTCCAACTGCTGAGCCAAACAGGCCAGGGCCAACTAGGCATTCTTTTTTATTTTTTTGTTACAGATATTTTACCTTTTTTACCCCATTGGCACCCCCCTCCCCACCCCACCCCCGCCCCGTCCCCGGCTTAGTTGTCCAAGTCCATTGATCATGCATATAAGTTCTGTGGTTTATCTCTTCCCACCCCCCCACCCCCTCTTCTGAGGAATGTCAGTCTGTGCCCTACTTCCATGTTTCTGGGTCTACTGTATTCCTCAGACTGTTATGTTCATTATATTCCGTATATAAGTGAGATCATGTGGTATTTATCTTTTTCTGCTTGGCTTCTTTCACTTAGAATAATACTTTCCAGGTCCCTCCATGTCATCTCAAATGATAAGAGATCTTTCTTTCTTACCGCTGCATAGTACTCCATTGTGTATATGTACCATTCATCTACTGATGGACACTTGGGCTGTTTCCAGATCTTAGCTATTGTAAATAGTGCTGCTATGAACATGGGGGTACATATATTCTTCCTGATTGGTGTTTCAGGTTTCTTAGGGTATATTCCTAGAAGTGGGATCACTGGGTCAAATGGAAGTTCAATTTTTAATTTTTTGAGGTAACACCATATTGTTTTCCACAGTGGCTGCACCAGTCTGCATTCCCACCAGCAGTGTATTAGAGTCCCCTTTTCTCCACAGCCTCGCCAACACTTGTTGTTTGATGATTTGATGATGGCGGCCATTCTGACAGGTGTGAGGTGATACCTCATTGTTGTTTTAATTTGCATCTCTCTGATGATTAGTGATGTTGAGCATTTCTTCATATGTCTCTTGGCCATTTGTATGTCCTGTTTGGAGAGGTGTCTATTCAGCTCCTCTGCCCATTTTTTAATTGGGTACTTTGTCTTCCTTTTGTTGAGTTGTATGAGCACTCTCTATATATTGGAAATTAACCCCTTATCTGATACATCGTTGGCAATGATGTTCTCCCATACAGTGGGTTGCCTTTCCATTTTGATGATTGTTTCTTTTGCTGTGCAGAAGCTTTTTAGTTTGATGTAGTCCCATGTGTTCATTTTTTCCTTTGTTTCTGTTGCCTTAGGTGATGTATCAGTGAAAATTCTGCTCCGTATGATGTCCAAAATTTTGATGCCTACATTTTCTTCTAGGATTTTTATGGATT